GTAACCCAGTACATTTTCTTAAAATCTAATAGAATCTTCACTAGAAAAGTACATTTTCTCGAATGCTACATTGTTCCCCCCTTAGGAACATTCATCCCCGAATGACACTAAAATCTTTTGGAGGGCAGGAAAATAAACTCAATACTAGCAGCACAAGAAGCACATAACATATCATTACTATTAGCACTCAATTTATGATGCACAATCATATAAGAGCTACATATTCATAACACATAGTGAGGAAATTCCTTCTCAACCTTATCATAATCTCAAAATGCATCAAAGAGATACCATGCTATCGTTCTTATGAAAACAACAACAAAAAAAGAGCATTTCGATTGCCTTGGGAGTAGCTCCTGCATTCGCAATCTCTTCTCCTACTCTTCTCCTGGCTGTCCTTCTTGTGTTCATTACCTATATACACAAGAAATTGATTAGATGCTAAATGAAACATAGTGTCAAAACTCTAAAGGCACCACATAGGAGTATCAAGAAAATAGAAGTTTCCTAGTCGTCACATAGCCTCTCATCCACAATTGTGGTGCGCTTCACAACCATGAACAAGACACTAGGTAATGTGGTTTAGTGAGACATTGTCCCTAAGGATATTTAACCTCATGCTCTAATACCAAGTTTGTCAAACCTGGAGAATACACCCCAGATGAGACCGGCGTCGTTAACCTCTTAAAGGTCGCTGACAAGCCTCTTCTTAGCATTAATCACAATCATAGAGTTAAATTTAGCGGAAAAATTAAAACTTTTAACATACTATTGAAGTATACTTAGAATACATACTTAACATTCATAAGCCATACGATATTATGAGGAGTTGTCTCATATATATATAAAACCATCTATGAGTTCAAATCTTGACATAGCCAATAAATAGTCAATATGCTATATAGGCTTTAATACAAAAGAATCAAAAGAAAGCATGATGGACATAGATAATACTAATATCTACTAAAGTCTTCATACCCCAGAAAATAAATGATAGCGTCCCGAACATGAGGACCTACCAAGACTTGGAGAAAGAGTTCCAAACTTCTTAAAATCGGCCTCCTTAAACATCAATGGCTGGAACTTTAAGGTGTAGTAATATAAAGTAATGGGGTTAGTATGCCGAATGTACTAAGTGTGGGTATATGCACATAACACATAAGGACATGCATGAAAAATGATCATTTATCGTTTCATTAGAAAACATGCTAAGTCATGTGAAAGTATTCAATGCACATAACATATAACGTTTACAAACTAAGGATACCATCAACTTACAACATGATCATAATCAGATACATATTTTCATAGAGTCATGTTAACATATTCAATAAATCATATAAATATGACATACAAAACACTTACCAATGATCTCATCCCCAACCTACAAGTGCAATGGTCACGTGAATCCCCATAACCCCATACAACCAAGTAGGTAAGATAGGAGACCATAAGTAAAACTTTACTTCATGTAACTTGTAACATAAGTAGTCATCACTTCATATTAAATTGTAACCCAATAATTTATTCATAATAATGACCAACACTCATGTAAGAGTTACATCATGTATCATAAACATATATCTTTCATGTCATCATATTACATAGGAACAATCTCATAGGACTTTCCTTAGAGTCAACTTGTGCAATGTCTAGGTAGAGTCCCATACCCCTACCTATACTAAGTAGACTCCTCAAGTAACCCTAGTCAACGCTCATTTACTTGCCTTTCAGTTTACATGAGGGAATATTTGCCTTAACCAACAAAGACCATGTGATCTAAACATGGCATTCGGTGTCTTCCCCACACAGAAAAGTGGTGGTCTACCGGCCAAAGTTGAACCTAGATGAAATAGCATTCTAGGTAGATCCACTAGCTAGTATCCTATGGTGGAAACATAGTTCAAGAGCTAGGAGATTTATTAGAGACCCATATTTCCACATTACATGGCAGCCTCAATCTCATGAGAATCATTGTGAACCTACCTTCTACTAGGGAAGGGACACTTCTTATATCTAGTCCATCGTGCTTAGCTTAAATCCCTTTTCTTGAAATTATCTTTAGGTTTGATTTCATCATAAAGTTATCATTGGTCACACGAGGTTAATTCCATATATAAACATGATCATGAGATCTTTTAGGATTAGATGAGAATTTCTTTTCATCGCAACCCTTCATATATGATATTAACATAACATAGTCATCGTGTGTAAAGCATACAAGAGAATATCATAGCTTGTGTTTTCGTTGTCTTATCATGATATCACATTTAACATGTTCATATCTCAGAATATACACATAAAAACATCATACATACTTTCATACCATGTTATCGTGATTCATAGGCTAATATAAACATTGTAGAGTAATCACAACTTTAGAAGACTTACCTCTTGCTTCAGAGAACCTTATTCATCTTACACTATTCATTATCATACTTAGAGAAATACTCAATAACATAATCAAGAACAACTCATCAAATCATGTACAATATCAATGCATTGCGTAGGAGAAGGGAAACGGGTCATAAAAGGGTTAATTCAAACCTTAAATTCCAACCCTAACGTTTACATGTTATCAAATACTATAAACATCCCATCCGAAACCATCACTTAGAGAAGGATCATGTATCACATGACATTCAAAAATTATCAATCAAATACTCAACAATTCATGTGAAATTAACCTTATAAAATGTTTACTTTTTGTTAAAAATCATAAAACTAATGTTAGGAAGAAAATCCGTTTTGTAGAGTAAAAACCCTAGTATTTGAAGTTCTTGAAAACTTATCTTGAAAGGACCTCTTGGGGAATGGAATCCCAAAAGTGAAAAACCCATACCATATAGATTAATAATCCTCAAAAATCTGATTGGAAATTTTTAAACCCTCGTCTTCTTCCTTAAGCTTTTCTTGTTCTTCAATGGAGTTTGGAAAAGAGAGCGTTCTTGAGAGATTGAGAGAACTTTCATTTGATCTGATTTGGGATGTGTAAAATTGGTCTAAAATTGACCTAATATACAAATATAGTCTTCCCATGAATTAACCAAAAGACCTTCCACATAAATTATCAAAACGCCCCTCCTAAAATTGACTAAAAATAGGAGAGCATTGATTTAGCCAAATCTTAAAATTTGTTAAGGGTTTTGGCTTTGAGTAGGATTTTTAATTAATAGATTAATTTCTAATTTAATTAATTAAATGACCTAGGGTAATTACTAAAGTATCGCTAAGTCACTAGGACGATAACTAACCTCTTTGGACCATCCTAGGTTATGTACTAGGATGTTTCTTTAGTTAGTTACCCGGCTAGAGTCACCCGATTAGATTTTTGGATTTCGGGTGCACTAGTTAGTTTATTTTAGTTAATTCTAGGTTAGTTAAATAGTTAGGTAAATTAGTTAGATCCTAGGACTAGTTAGGAAGCTAGGTCCTATTTGGCTATACCCGCACACGTGCCTGCCCCCTAACCGCCCTAACGGAATTCGGTTGGGACTTGGTCGCTTGGTCTCTTGCATATGTGCTTGCACATGTGTTGCATATGTGTTGATGCACATTTCTTGTCCAAAGACCCTAACTATGTCATTGGGTACTGCTTAATCTACATGATCATTATAAGTGATCATGTTCTATGGTACCTAGGCTTGACTCTTGGATGCCTCGTACCTAATGCGTACAACTAAGAAACTAATAAATTAACTTAGGGTCTTGATTGCAGGTACAATTCCTAAACAATCTTGGATTGGAGCATTTGAACATCAAAGTATATCTTATTACATAGAAATGGGTAAATATCAAAGTGTATTTTAAGTTACTTGTTAATACATAGAAATTGGCTAACACCCTTAAGCCAATATTCTCTAACATGCCAAATATTACTTAATATTAGGCATTGGGATGTCTATGCACCCCAATACATATCCTTAAGACCTAACAGAATCTTCACTAGGCAAGTAAATTTTCTGGAATGTTACATCTGGGCTTATAAGATGGTTCATAAAGTATACATATACATTCAACTTAAACAACAACATATAGTTACACATTAACTGTATAAGTCTCGACAGTTTATACAATTGTTAATTCATTATGAATTGTATAATTATGCTGTTAATTATATGTAAAACTTATACAAATTATAAAAGTATAAATATACTTTCAACTTGAACAACAACTTATACAATTATGTATTTCCAAGCTTATGAACTGTAAAACTTATACAATTTTATAGAAATGTTCAATTGAACTTATACATAGACAATTTATTTATATGATGTATACTATACACACAAACGATAATTTCTAATAATAGCATGAAGAGAAAATGAAGAACAATAACGAGCACAATTAATTAGACATAACAACTTTATTCCATATTCAACGTCCTAACTCATACTTTTTAAACACAGAACTAATTGAGAATAAAATTCAATTGTATATGAGATCAAATTTTATTGTGCAATATAAATATAAAAGTTTATTAAACTTCTTGAGGTGTATTTATACATGACGCCTATTGTGACTTGCGAATCCACATGTGCTACACATATGCTTCTTTTTTTAGTCCAAGCAATTCACATTTTGTTTTTAAACGAGGTTTATTTTTAGGCCTTCCTGGAAGTCTTTCGAATTTTAGAGGTCGAACTTCATCATACATTATGGATTCAGGTATCACCCATTCTGCTACACCAGCCAATGGATAAATTGGTATCTCATAAATTTTCAATTTATTACAGCCCAAGCATGTTCATAAGGAACTTCTTCATATTGAAACTTCCCACAACTTTATGTTTTATTCTGACCATAAAACTCCTAACATAATCAGTCACATTGTATATATATTCAGTTGACGGCATGACCTATTTTACACAAATAGATTTATGTATATGTATAAGTCTATGCAATCGTATATATATAAAATCTTTTTGTGTGCATAACTCATTAATTAATAATATATATACATAAAAGATAGCCCCATTCATGTGCTCATTGCTTCATATTCAATTAGTAAATTCAGGGCTTTTCCAATACGGAGTAAATATAAAGGCTGCCTCGTACTTGTTGTCATGATTACATCTCCCAAACATTAGTTTGACCTCTTCTAGAAAATCAAAAACTAGTAATTCCCTTGCAGACACTAATGCAACATTTATACTCTCTGCAATGTTAGACGTTATAGACCATCCCCGATGAGTTTCTGCATGACACCTTGACCAGTTATCATATCCATCTAGCTTTAAATACTCTTTAACACATACTTCAACTTTTTCTACAGTATCCATCAGCCTATCAAACTCAACTTTCTTGCAAGTCTTTGCCATTGTATAAAATAGAGGATTTAGCTCCTTGGAGGCCTTATTAAATTTCTTCTCTATATTACCCCACAAGTGCCACATACAAGCATAATGTGGCACATTTTTATACACTTGAGTCACTGCCTTTATAATACTTTCATTTCGATCTGAAACTTCATACATATTAATCCTTTCACCATAAGCGTCCCTTAGTTGTAGAAAAAACCAAGACCAAGCTGCATCATTTTTCGAGTCAATGATACCATATACCAGTGGAAAAATGTGTCCTACATTTAAATTTACAAACACATTAACATTCCCATAGAAAAATTACATTCAAAAACTTAATCAATCATACTTGCTTCGTCTATTGTACTTGCAGCCACAAATGTTCCATTATTCGGTCCTCTTAGGTGACTTCCGTCCACAACTATTATAGGACAACAATGTTCAAAATCTTGTATAAAAACTATTCAATGCAACAAAAACATACAAGAACTCATTTATCTGTTTTTTTAGACGTATATGCGAGCCTGGATATGTAGTATTCATCATATACAAATATGCTGGAAGTTTGCCGTAAAATGCAGCTACAGTGCTCCTCAATGAAACCAAAGCCTTTTCTTTATCTCTCCAAGCAAATGAGTAATTTACATCAACTCCCAAATATATTTTTACATCAGTGCGAATATCAGAAGGTGTATATTTTGTCTTGTGATCAACAAGCTTGGGTTTAACCATCCCTCCAATCAGCATGCTTGTGGCATGTTTTTGTGAATACATTTTATCCTTTAAAGGACAAGTATGGTCTGTATTAAATGCTCTTATTCTAAATATACCAGACTTGTTGACATTAGATGCTTTCATTAACCATTTACATTCATAAGAAATACACATCAACGTATAACAACATCAGCAAAAATAATACAACACATCAATATACAAATAACTAAAACAACTTATACAATTATATATTTGTATGTATAAAGTAGGTACCTGATTGCGCTTGACTTTACTGTTTAATATTCATATCTTTTTTCAATTGCATATTTTTTCATCAGATATTTCAATGTGGCTTTGGTCTTATACACTTGGTCTACCTCCACGATCTTATTACAAGGATCTGAAATAACTCCATCGCAACTCCTTGACCCCAAAATACAAAGCGGCTCTACCAACTCACCAATTGTCAGCTGCCTATTATCAAATTCATTATTTGCATCGTTGGTAATAGATGTAACCATACCACTCTCCTGATTTGAACTTCCTCACAGTTCATTGACACTACTTATATTGTCTAGTTTGCTTATACACAGTGGATACTTTTTGAACTCATTTCCAGCCTTTTTAAGCATGATATAAACTCTAACACCCATGTCGTTGTGAATCAACATGGGTGTGTTGTTTTCTTCAATCTTATACTCAATTTTGAGTTTATTCACTTTCATATCAATCCCTAGTTGCATTGCAATGACATTATACAACTCATTATACGATTAACTTTCTATAAAAATCACCCCCTCAATTGTATAATCAACGTAACAATTGTCATTTTCCCATATACCAGAATGCATAACCAAAATAACCAATGAAGTGATTTTCAGAATCTCTGTATTAAAAATTAAATTATATACATATACATTTGTAATCTTAAGAAATGTAACAATCAATAGAACATGTACTTACACAATTTATAGCAACTTTAGTATTTAACTTATACACATTTTCAGATTACACCAAAAGTCTCTAGTATACACAAAATTATAGCTTTATAGAAATATACAATTCATCAGAACACTAAATATGCATATGAATATAATGGAAAAATTCGTATAAACAGACAACAGTTCCATACAATTATACAATTTACCAAATAACAGTTTGAAGTGTCCTCTAGTCGAACACCCAATAAAGCCAATCTATGAATCTATTTAACTAGCTTTTTCTTATCATCAACCACACGAGTCACACTACCCATGGACATTCCACTCAAAGCATCTGCCACAACATTAGCTTTCTCGGGATCGTAAAGGGCTTTCATGTCATAGTCCTTTTAAAATTTCTTACTATCTTCTTGGTCGTAGCTTCAATTCTTTTTGAGTAAATGCATATTGTAGACTCTTGTGATCGGTGAATACGTCAACATGTAACCCATAGAGACAGTTCCTCCAAATTTTCAAGGCAAATACCACGACCGCAAGGTCAAGGTCATAAGTTGGGTAATTCTTGTCATGTGGCTTGATTTGCCTAGAGGAATACACTATTACCTTAACATGTTGCATAAGGAAAAATACAAGACCCACTCAAGAGGCATCACAATAAACGACAAACCCTTTATTAACCTTTGGTAAAGTCAAAACAGAGCAGAGGTGAGCTTGTCTTTCAATAATTTGAAGCTCTCTTCACAAACCATCAAAACCTAGGAAACTTTGGATGTCTGTTTGATTCAAAGGTTTTGGGAAACCTTTTACCACTTTCGTCTTCCTCAGATCGACCTCAACCCCTTTACAAGAGACAACGTGCCTAAGAAAAGCTACCGTCCTCAACAAAAATTAACATTTAATAAATTTGCAGAAAAGTTGGTTATCCTTGATTACTTGCAAAACTATTCTCAAATTAATCATATGATCATCCTCACTCCTCAAGTATATCAAAATATCATCAATGAAGACAATCACAAATAAATCAAGATACTTTCTAAAAACTTCATTCATAAGGTCCATGAAAGGTGACAGGTCATTAGTTAGACCAAATGACATAACTAGGAATTCAAAGTGACCATATCTTTTTCGAAATGTCATTTTTGAAAATATCAACCTCCCTCACTCTGAGTTAGTGATAACCCAATCTCAAATAAATCTTTAGAAAGTTACTTGCTTCTTGGAGTTGATAAAATAAATCATCAATCCTAGGGAGTGCGTACTTATTCTTTATGGTGACTTTGTTTAATTGACGATAGTCGATACACATTCTCAAAGACCCATCCTTCTTATTCACAAACAACACTGAAGAACCCCATCGAGATATGATTGGTTTTACAAAACCCTTATCTAGCAAATCCTTGAGTTGAGCCTTTAGTTCTTTCAACTCGGACGGGGCCATCCGATAAGAAGGGATTGAAATAGGTTGTGCATCCGTCTATAAGTCTATGACGAAATCAACTTTTTTTTAGGGAGGAATTCTGGATAGGTTATCGAGAAATACCTACGGAAATTCCTTCACTACGGGTACCAACTCTAAGAGAGGGACCTCGGATTCAAGAACCCTAAATCTAACTATGTGGTAGATACAACACTTTTCAATGAACTTGAAAACTTTTAGACACAAAATGATCTTACCCTTAGGATTTTAGTTTCCTTCTCTCCACTCAAAATGGGTTCATTTGGAAATTTAAAATTCATTACCCTTAACCTACAATAAATAGAGGCAAAGCAAGCATACAACCAATTTATTCCAGATATGACATCAATCTAGCATATCAAGTTCTATTAAGTCAACAAATGTAACTCTATTTGGAAAGGAAATAGGACACCCTTTATAGACTCTTTTAGCCACCACGGTATCATCCACCAGGGTAGAAACCGAGAAAGGTTCATCTAATTTGTTGGGTAGTATATCAAACTTCATGGATACAATAGGGTTCACAAATGTCAATGTTGCTCGCGGATCCAATAAAATATATAAATCAAAGGAAAATAATTGTAACATACTAGTAACCACGACAGTAGAACAATCTTGATCAACTTGATTGGAGACCATAAAAGTGATTCTTCTTAGGAGCATCTGGATTTGGGACACTAGCTTGTTCTTGAGAATTTTCGCTTCTTTGAGCCTTCATTATATGGAAATCTCTCTTCATGTGACCACTCTTTCCACAACCATAGAAATTTCCCGTGCCAACTAGACACTTACCATCATGTCTATTATTACATTTTGCACAAAGATGCTTCTCAACATAAGATCTTCCACCTTTAAGCTCTTAAGGATTAGGAGTAGACACCTTACTCTTTTTCACCCTTGGAGAATCATAAAGGCCTTTCTTGGAAAACCTCCTTTTAACCTTTGTTTGTCTTGCACCTCAAATTTAGTCTTGGAACAAATCCCATTTTCGGTTCTTAACTTCATACAATTCTTACAAACTTGCTTAAGATTTTGCTCTTTAATTTGTTCAGAATGAACCATAAAACAAGAGATGTCCATTCCAGAAATAAACATATCCGACCTACACTCATTAACCACAAGATAAAATATACCCATGAAAATTTGGTTTATCTTTGCCCAAGAATCCGCAACCATAGTAGGAGTATGATTTGATAGTTGAGTGAACTTGAGGCTATACTCCTTAACGCTCATACCCCCTTGATAGAGATTGATGAATTTTTGAATTTTCCTCTGTCGCAACCGGAGTCTAGACCCTAGAAGAGACCGACGTAGTTGACCTCTCAGAGGTCGCAAACAAGCCTACATACATCATTCTTACTTCATCTAGATTAATTTTAGAGGAAAATTTGAAACTTTTTGTTTCCTAACATGTTTACTAAACATTCTATTACATGTATAATTGTTCACCATCAACCATCTAACATTAATATTATCAAATGAAAGAAATAGTTCATAGCTGCATTAAATGTGTACGTGCCAAAACGGAACCAATAAAGAGTCTGAAATGAAATGGGAAATGAAACACCAGTGGAACATGCTCCACTAGCTAAAGCCTACATCTAAGCTAGATAATAATAGTAGACAACCTTGAAATCATGATGGCCTACCAAGTCCGGATGAAAGCTCCATGTTTGGATAGTTTTAACGTTAACCTGAAAGCTCTAGCGTCCACCTGTGCTTCCACCTAAAATATAGAGTTGTACGGAATTAGTACACAGTTGTACTAAGTATGGGTATATGCAATCACACACAAAGGACGTGCATGATAAAGGATAGCACTTTCCTAACAACATGATTATGGAAAGTCAAGTCAGTGGACTTGCCAAATTGAGATTAGGAAAGTTAGTGAACTTTCTAAATTTGGATTAGGAAACTTAGTGAGCTTTCAAAATTTGGATTAGGAAAGTCATGCCATGAGAGTAACATTCATCATCATACTTATCATATTGCACAATACTCATTTTATACCATGACACCTTGGAATCATGGACTTGACATTAAAACTGATCAAAATGAGGGCTCAACATATGGGACCTCAACTAGGGATTCTTCATTAGCAAATACAGAGTCTGCTTTATTCATTCATACGTACTTCATTTTTCATTCTTTCATATACTAGTGCAATCACCAGTCATACCAGGGATGTAGTTTAAGACTCTCATCGGGTTTGCTGTGCAATGAGCAAGAATAACCTAGCGTCCTTACTTTAAGTCGAGCTCACCTCTTGATTATCCTATCCTTACACCTTTGGAATCATTCATTTCATTATGTGCATCATTTGAGGTTGGCCTCATTCATTGTTTGGGAACTTTAACTTTAAATGACAAAGATCATGTGAGCATCATTAGATCCAACATCTCCTCCACATCGAAAAGAGGTGGAATCACCGGCCAAAGTGACCCATAACATGCTAGTGTACATGAGAATTTAACCTCGCCAGATTCCTATATTGGCAGTATAGGTTTGAAAACTAGGGTATACAAGGAGACCCATACCTGTCATGCCGGGAAGTCTCATCTCATGAGAGTTACGTGAACCTACGCCCTTCTCGAAATAAGGCATCGCCGCTCATAGCTAGTATATCGGTGCTCAGTATAAAGTTCCATTACATTCAACTCATA